TCTCTCTCTCTCTCTCTCTCTCTCTGTGTGTGTGTCCGATACTAACCTGTGAAGGTGGCGCCTTGCTGCAGGTACATCGAAGACGAAGCTGGAGCTATGGCACCGCAGGTGAGTATCCCTGGCCTCCGCCAACCATCTCTCTCCCTCTCCTACTAGCGCCCAGCGCTGAAGACTACTGCTATCGCTACTACTCCTCCAGAGTGCCGCTGCCGAGTCCTGAAGACTACCTCCTGCCCTCTGCACGTGAAGTGCCTGGGAACTGCCTGCAGCCTACAGGGCGGGTCAGCCTTATGTAGTGCTGGCCCGTCCGGGAGGCTGCTCGTGCCTATGCCAAAACGTGCCAGACCCTGGGGTTGACGCTCCACAAAATAGGCCATAATGGCCTGAGCTAAAACCCCGGTCTGGTGCCTGAGTTTCAGGGTAGGTCGATCTTGCGAGGGCCTGAAAATGGCCCGTCGTTTTTAGGCTGGAGGCCGAAACGGCACAGGGCCTGTAGGCTCTCGTTTCAGGCCTTTAGGCTGAAATGAAACAGGCTCTACCCCTACGGACCCATAGTCTACCAGGTCCGGCTCTGATGGGCCCGTGTGGTATGGAGTATGCCACACTCCCCCCTCCTTGAAAGACCGAGCTTACCTGCGAGGGCGAAGCTGTCTGGTGGGAGGGAGGGACTGAAGTCTGGGTGGGAGGCTGTGCAGCTTCCGTCGCTAGTCGTTTCTTCTCATAATGAGCATAGATATCAGGAGCGGAGGCTTGCAAAGCTGCCTGGGAAATCCATCGCGTGTCATCGGGGTCGCACCACTTGAATGTGACTTTGTACTGCATAGGCTTGTTGCCGTGCTTGCGATGCGTGATGGCGCGGTCGACTTCCTAATGACCATCCATGGAAGGAGGGTCATGTGATCGTCGTCCCGGGAAGTCGTCGCTGTTGGCTGGTGTATATGTGGCCAGCTTGGAGGCGTGGAAAACCGGGTGCACCGTGAGATGCGGCGGGATTTCGATCACAAATGAGGGGCCATCGGGCTCATCACCCACGGCTGATGTGACGGGCCATGGTCCAAACCACTTTGGAAGTAGCTTGCGGGATACATCCAGCTCGAATGCAAACTTTTCCGTGGAGACCCAAACAAGGTCGCCGGCGCGGATGGGGCATGGCACGCGACGCCTGTTAGCTTGCTGTTGCATGCGGACTTGAGCCTTTTGCATGTTGGCGCGGGACTTAGCCAGCAAGTCCCTATACTTCTGAATGGAGGTGGGCGAACAGGCGGCGTCAATGTCGGCAGTCCTTGGAAAAGGAAGATCAGCGAAGATGTGGCCTTTCCGGCCACCGTGGTGTAACTCGAACGGAGTCATGCCAATAGCCGGGTGCACCGAAGTGTTGTAGGCGAATTCGATATCGGGGAGGCGGTCCACCCAATCCTTCTGATCCGTACGGATGAGTGTGTGAAGCATTACTTGAGCGGTTTGATGTGCCCGCTCCGTTTGCGGATGCCGAGCCGAACTTGGTTTCATCTCGGTGCCGGACTCTTTCATGAGAGAGGTCCAAAATGCCGACATGAAGCGAGTGTCGCGGTTGCTGACGATGTCTTCCAGAACGCCGTGGCCGCAAATTCAGCCGGTGTGTAAGAGGCGCGCAAGTTCAGGAGCCGTGGCGTAGTACTTGCAGGGAAGAAATTGTGCGTACTTGCTCAAACGGTCAACGACCGTGAGAATGCCCTCGTGCCCGAAACGGTCCCGGGGGAACGGGCCAGTGACGTCCATAGCAATGGAGAGGCCGGGTTCCCGAGGAATAGGCAACGGGCGTAACTCGTCGTAGGGGTTGCGATTGTGGGGTTTGCTTCATTGGCAAACTTCGCAAGAGTCGCAATAGCGAGTAACGTCAATGATGAGGTCGGGCCACCGGAATCGTTGCCGAAGTCTTGCGATCGTACGGTTGATGCCAAGGTGGCCAGCGAGTCTCCGAGGAGGCGAGTCCGTAGGCGACGGTCATGTGGGACGCATAGTAAGTCCTTGACGCGTGAGTGAAGAAGCAAGTAGCCATCGGCGGCGCGATAGTGGCTGGCCGGCGGTTGATCCGAGGATAGTTACTCGTAGAGCGTGCCGTATTCCGGATCGGACTTGTATGCTTGCACAAAATGCTGATGAAGGCCTTCGTCGAAACTGAACGCGTGGTGAGTCACTGCGCAAAGATCTGATCTTCACGAGAGAGCATCCGCGGCTCGGTTGGAGGGGATATGTTTCGGTGTGAAGTCGAACTGATCGATGAAGTTCATCCACCGAGCAATCGTGCTGCTCACCGTGTCTTGCGTCTTGTAGTAGGTCAATGGATTATTATCAGTCACCCAAGTGAATCTACGACACCCGAGGAGGAAGTGTCGCCAACGCTTGAGTACCGTGACGAATGCGAGGAACTCCTTCCGCGCATCATCAACGGAGTTGATGGGGGGCACCTTTTGGCTGAAGTACTCAACCGGATGCCAGTCTACTCCGTCGTGTTGTTCCAAGACTGCACCCATGCCGTAGCCGGAAGCATCCGTAGTCACTCTCGTAGGCAAGGTGGGATCGTAGATACTCAAGACGGGAGCGAGGAGCAACACCGTCTTCAATTTGTGGAACGAACTGCGGACTTCGTCGGTGAACTGGAAGGGCACTTGTTGAGACTGCAATCTTGACAAGGGTGCGGCGATCCGTGCGTATCCTCCGATGAAGCGTTGGTAGTACCCGACCAATCCCATAAAAGAGTGAACCTCCGTGGTGTTGGTCGCTTCCGGCCAATCTTGGATGGCCTTGATCTTGTCTGCAAGCGGACTGATGCCTTGCGGTGTCACAAAGTGGCCCAAGTACTTGAGCTCTTGCTGTGCGAATTCGCACTTGGCTCAGTTGGCCTTGTGCTTGGCCGTACGAAGCCTGTCCAAAACAGCACGTAGATGCACGATGTGCTCGTCCAAAGTTCGGCTATACACCAAGATGTCATCGAGGTAGATGAGCACGAACCGGTCGAACATGTCGCGAAACTCCGTTGTCATTGCCACTTGGAAGGTGGCCGGGGCATTCGTGAGGCCGAATGGCATTACGACCCACTCGAAGTGCCCGTACCGTGTCTTGAACGCCGTTTTGTACCTATCTCTTGGATGGATCTCGAGCTGGTGGTAACCGGATTTGAGGTCCAACTTGGAGAAATACTTGGCGCCGCCCAAGCGTTCGAGAAGATCGTCGATGCGTGGGAGCGGGCCGACATTCTTAATGGTTTGAGCATTAATTGTGATAGTCAATGCATAAGCGCAGCTCCTTGTTCTTCTTCTGAACGAAGAGAACAGGTGCATCGTAGGGCGAGCAACTAGGGCGAATCCAGCCCTTGTCAATGAGGTCATCGAGTTGCGTTCGAAGCACTTCGAGTTCCTCCTCGCTCATGCGGTAAATACATCCGCGCGGAGGTACGGCCCCATCGTCGAGGATGATCTTGTGACAAATTGGCCGATTCGGTAGGATTTCGGCGGGGGCTTCAAAGACGTCGCCATAGGAGTCAAGAAGCTGTACAATGCGTGGATCCGGTGGCTGTTCCACCGCTGGCTCGTTGGGAGGAGGGAGGGCGTGCAAGAAACAAATTCCCATTTCCTCCACATCGTTCCGTGCGATGGAGTTGTGAATGCTTGCCGCGGAGACCACATGACAACCAATCGAAGGATGAGGTGGGGGGACCGTACATGGCACAAGTACCCCGTTCCGGTCACGAACTTGAATAGTGCGGCGGTAGAAGTTCACCGGGTGGTTCTTGCTGCGCAGCCATGACATACCCAAGATCGTGTCGAACTTTGAGTCCAATATGTCAAAGGACACGGCCTCGCGTGCAAGCGGGGCGAAGTACACGGGGACGGAGTCAATGCATGGGTCGATGGACTTCTGCGTACGACCGTCGGCCAACGTGACTTGCGTGGGCTGCGATTTCCTTCGAACGCACGGCCCAAGGCCGGCGCGGGTCATGAAACCCTGGCTGATGTAGTTACGAGTAGCTCCACAATCTATCAAGGCGCTGCAGGTCGCCTTCCCGATCTGAATGCGTACGTAGAGTAATGGTTCACTTGGCGATGGTGATGAAGTCGCACACGCAAATGAGTCTTGCACGTGGAGAGGTTGGTCCAACAGCGGGACCAGCTGGACAGCGTAGTCTTCGTAATCTTCGCGAAGACTGGCGACATACGCATGTTCCCCGGACGTGGAGGAGGTTGCTAGCAAGGCAACCGTGTCCAGCGGAGTAGGAAGTGGAGTCGCCTCACTTCCCGCGAAGCTCAGTTTCCCGAGCTTTGTCGTGGACGGACGTCTTCTTTGCCTTTGTCAGGGCATTGCGACGTCGTATGCTTGGTGCTGTTGCACCAGTAGCAACAGTTCCACCTCTAGCGGAGTTTGTAGTGTTCCTCCGTGAGGCTGAACTTCTTCCATGGCTCATTTGGCTGTCCGGCTTCCGTTGTTGACACTGATTTCGCCTTCTTCTTGTTGTTGTTGTTGTTGCGTCGTGGCGGAAGGGCGTTGACTCCGTCTCCTTCACTAGACTCGTGAGTCATCGCCTGGTCGTTCTCTTGCCCATTTCCTTGGACAACAGCGACTTGCTGCAGCTGCGGGCCTGTGCCCTTTTCCTCAAAATTCGGTTGGCTTCGCCGCTCGTTGGCTGCCCACCGATTCGTTTGGATGACTTCGCGCGCCTTCTCCACGATCTGGCCGAAGTCCGTGTATAGGCTGCGCTTCCCAAGGGCCGTGCTCAACGCGTCAACTGACCGCTGGAAGAATTCGCGACGAAGTTGTACGAATGGGATGTCCAAATTCGGAATCGTCACGATTTTCTGCAACTCAGTTAGCCATTCGCGTGTTGGCTGGCTGCCTTGATGCATGCTGACGATCCGGTTCACGCCTTTGCCCTGAGCGTCGTCGACGATGAAACGTTTCCGCCACTTCTCAGTCATGGCCTCCCAAGTGATCTTGGTGTGAAGCTTAGAGACTTCGACGCCCTCGGTTTGAGCCAGGTGGTTGAGCGACACTTGGCTGGCACCGGTGCTGCAGAGGTAAAGCGCTGAGATCTTCGACTTGGGCGGGACCAAGTGGATGGAGAGCTCATTGGTGAACCCTTGCCACCAACTGATGGGGTCCGCCTTGTGGTAGTCATCAAACTTGTCGATGCTGAATTTCGGCATCTTGTACTGTTTAGGCGTCAAGTTGCTGCAGGTCCCGGTTGGTTGCTGCTGCAGCTGACGCAGATCCGCTTGTAGGGCGGCTAATTGCTGACTGATGGTCGTCGGGTGTCGGAAACTGTTCAAATTGCCGACAAGCGCGACTAGGTGATCCAGCCGTCCTTCCAGCTCGCGGATCGATGGCTCGATGCTTGACGATGCCGTGTGCCTGTGCGGCACGTCATCCTTCTCCAGCATGTCAAGGCGGGCGTGGAGGCTCTTGAGAGTCTCCTCGTACTCAGTAATGGTACGTGCCTGCCGAGCCAGCTCCGCTTGTTGCCAGTTACAAGTGAGGATGACTTGGTGCATCATGCTGGCGAGAGCTGACTTAGTCTGGTCCTCCGTAGTTGGTTCCGTTGTTTCCGCTGGATCAACGTGCCATGCTTGGAGTGCGGCGGTATGAGCGGCTTCCTGCTGCATGATGACAGACACGGCATCTCTTCGAGCTTTGTTGTGGTTGGCAGCTGCGTTAGCTTGCTGCCGGCGTCGTTGCTCTTCTGCGTGTGCAATGGCATTAAGGCGTGCTGCTTCGGCTGCCGCCTCGCATTGCTGCTCCTCTTGGACTTGCTGCATATAGGTGCCCAGGCGGGCCAGGAAGGCCGTCATGGTCTCTCCTTGCTGCCGGACTGGTGCAGCGTCGAGGGTTCCCGCAGAAGTCGCAGTGGAACCCTCCTGTTGGGCCTGTGGGGCCGGGGGGTTCGAACTGCACGCCTCATGTGGACTGCCGGATGCGGCATTGTCCACCGTGGGGTTGCCCTGAGTGTCCATTTCAGAGGGGTGGGGCAGAGGTAGCTGCTGTTCTGCCGCTGCTGCCCGCCCTTCGCGTGCTGCAATGCGGTTGCTGCGTCGAAGCATAAGCTGCAGTTAGCTGCACGGTGTTGATGACGCGGTACTGCTGACGTGGCACTGTGGTCGTGGCACTGCTACTGACGTGGCACCGTTTGCCGTGGCACTGCTGACGTGGCACTTACCAAGCCGAGAAAACAGACAGGGGGCTGGCTAGGAGGGAAACGGAGGAAAACAACCAAACTGCAATGTCCATGCCGGTCCTAATCAACAGAATAAAATAAAAAAATAAAAAAATAAAAGAAGCGGATTACCCCCTTTTTTTTCTTCTTTTTTTTGTACATCTGTCGATCTGTTATCAGTGAGGCATTTTCCGGACAATGCTATGAGTGAGATCTAGACAAGGTAGGGTAAAGGTTCAATTTTCAGCAAAGGAATAAATTCAGTTTCCGAGAATGTGACAACCTCCTATTTTGCCTGGAAAACGAAATGCTGATAGGCTTCGCAAAATTTCGGCTTTCAGAGCCCAACTTTTTTGCGAAATAGAAAGGAGACTCGATTTTCAGAAAAGAATAAATTCTGTTTCCCTGAATATGACAACCACCGTCGTAACCCTAATATGCCTCGAAAACGAGATGCTCACGTCAGAAATTTTCGGATATTTGTTACGTGAAAAAAAACGAAGTGCAAATATCAGAACTTTTCAGATAAAACGAAATGTTATTATCAGAAATTTTCGGATATTTGTTGCCTGAAAACGAAATACAAATATCAGAAATTTTCAGATAAAACGAAATGCTAATATCCGAAGTTGTGAAAAAAAAGAAGAAGAAAAAAAAAGATTTGCAGAGATTTTGACGAAACCCTACTTGATTTACTAATCAATCAATCAATCAATCTGCAATAACCCATGCCATATGTCTCGTGGAAATCTGAGGGCCGACCTGGCCGCCCTCAGCCAGGCCAAAGACGAGGTAAGGGACCCCACACAGGGATTCAGGGCCTGGGCGTGCCACGGTTGACTTTTGTCAACTGTCGCAAACCCAACAGTCAAAGTCCACAGGTACCCAGTCCAGGCCGCCGGTCAAGCACACACACTCGTTTGTATGCAGGTACCCAGACAGCATCAAGTCCAAGGGGGAATGCTGCAACTGTACAATCCAGGCCTTCGGCTGTGACTCAATCTGGACGACTGGGGGGTAGGAGACTCGAGGGAGTGAAATGCACTACCTTCAAGCAGAGCGTCGAGGAATTCGAAGCTACACCATATATAGCTGGCCTGCTCCCTCCTTACTACAAGACTAATACAAGTCCAATGACGACCCGTCCAGTGACCATCCTTCTCCTGCTGACAGGACCCTCTCCTATTTTTGACAGGGACCTTTTGAAGTACCAGCAGGGGTTGTCTGAATAATGTGAAAGAGCTCTGTGCTCTCTCTCTCTCTCTCTCTCTCTCTCTCTCTCTCTCTCTCTCTCTCTCT